TATTGTCATTACCTTCAGCTTATCTATGCCTCCAACTGAAATTAATTCAGCCCTAAAAGCTTTAAACCAGAAAGAAGTTCCAGTGAAGTCTCATCTTCCAAAATAAATCACAACGCTGCACTGACCGAAACAAGTCTTGTGGTAAGAAATGCCATGAATCCGTGTATTACTAGCAGGAGTAGGTTTTAATGGGGGAAGCTGGTTTAACAGTCCTTCCAGAGGTGCAAGGGACAGTTCACTTCACCAGAAGAAAGAAATCCAACAGGACCCAAACTTCTTCCACTCTCTGTCTGGTGTTGACAAGCCCCAGCTGCAGCACCTCTTCAGAGCACCGGAGGAGACCAAGACTACCACACACTAAGTTTGAGGGCTGGCAAACAGCACACAGGACTATCAGCCTTTGCAAACTAGGTTGTGAATTAGGCGACAACTAATTTTGTTCAAGATAGTTGTCCTCAGAGGGACCATGACACTTTTGTGATGTCGGTCTGCTCCAGATGGACAAATTCAGCAAGAACATTCACAAGAACTCTGAATCTGTTTCCATAACAGATCCCCATTGTGATCTTTAAAATGATACCCTAGTACAATTTAGAAATCACTGTTCCTATCCAGATGATACTGATTTCAACAGAGGGCAACCAGAATTCTCTGTTGCATTTTTCCACCTCCTGTACAGTTCTGCTTCCCTCTACTTCAGGTCTTTCTTAGGTTTGGTGGAAAACTGGGATTTGGATTAGGAGACATAATTTGTTTAGATTTAGATGTCTGTTTCTTCTCATTAGAGCTGCACTTTTACTCACAGGCAATTTTGTGCTCGGATAGTTTAGAGGGTTTTTTTATTATTATTTTTTAAATCACCAAAGCTGCAGTTTCCCATTTGAAATGACAAATTCTGGTAAGATTGGTGATATCAAGCTTCTGCTCCTGAACTGCTGGTCAGATGCTGCAAAGGGGAAAGAAAAACATTCTGCACAGACATTTTTATCACATCCCTTTGGTATATTCCAACTCTCTGAACTAAAGCAATTTAAAAACCAGACAGAGTCACTATTTCATCTTCAATTTTATTTCCCCAGCAGGCATGATACCATGGTCATTCTTGAATTACATCCCATGATATGCCCACTTATGCCAAGAAAAGTCTGAAACTCATAAAGGCCAACCTGTATTGCCTCAGTCAAAGAAGGAAAGCAGCACAATGGTAAAATGTATCTATGATTGAACAACGTAAGAATTCAGTGTGTTTGGTTTCTGTGGGTTTTTTTAAATTTGTTTCAAATGAGTGGTTTGAACAACCCTGGAAATATTACTTTTCTTTCTGCTTATCCCCAGTTCAAAAAGAGCTCAAAGAAGCCTTTCTTAGGAAACACGACTTTCCCAAGTGTGCCTATTTACGCTCTTCTTGCTCTGTGTCTTAGGGGACATAAAGTGTGGTAGCAAGGCTGAATTTGCTTTTATTGGTAAATATGATGTGAACTTACTGATAGCTGAACTTACACCAAAACACAGGCTTTATTTCTCTGGAAAAAGCATCCCAAAATTTTTCTCCCAAACGATCATGACAATATTAGACAGGAAGTTTTGTTCTTGACTAAATAACTAAACTTCATTCCAAAAGTTGACAGGAGATGGAATGAGGCCTTCCACAGATGGAAACATTCCTGTGGGCATTTCCTTTCCCTCCCCCTGAATCTGTATCCCAGAGCACTAAGAAACGAGAAAGAAATAAAATCAGAGAAGCCCCTACATGTGATTCTGACTTTCCCTAAAAAAATTAAGGCTTCAGGCTCCAACTAGCCCTGGATGCAGATATGAATAAACACTTAAATCTGAAGCACCTTCTGAGCATCATCGCATCCCTTCAAGCCTTGAATCCCAGGGAACTTCTTTCAAGTGAAGCACTTGAAGGCAACATCGATTTGATGGTTTGACCTTGTGCTCAGATCTCTCCTCAGGCAGAAAAGACTTTCAGGTATTTGTAGTAGTAGAGAGAAGTTTCAGCAGCTCAGTGGGAACTGACACCTGCACAGCTGAAAGGAGACACCAGGCAGGCATCAGCTGGGCTGCCCAAGAGGCACTCAAAGGCAAACAAAGCAAGTACGAGATCACTCCTGCCCCGAGATTTTACTTCAGACAAAATGAGTTAACAGAGGAACTGGAACTCACCAAAAAGGCGCTTTTTTTTTTTTTTTTTTTTAAGTAAAAACCCCCAAACTCTCCTTTCCAGGCATTCACAGAATGCCTACACGGTACCTTGAACAACGTGGAATCCTGAAAATGCAGGTAATAATTCTGCTGGTTGCAACACGCAGCCTGTAATATTCAGCCATCCGCTCGAGGAAGACAAATAAGAGCTAAACATTTCAGAACCCTGTATACACACAGCACAATTACTTCCAGCTGCAAGACTACCATTAAGCTTTATTCCTCACATTATTAATCCCTTCAGAATTCGAAAACACATTCCAAGAAAAATTTCAAAGACAAGGCTTTTTAAAAAACCTCAGAAGTTAAACTGCTAGTCCCTATGGAAAACAAGATCCTGGTTTTCAATTGCACTGTTATTGCAAAGATAGCCATAAACAATGGGAAAACTGTTTATAAACCAAGTGGCTTTGTTTCAAGCTGCCAGTTACAGTGAGTCCAGGTGTTGCTTACAAAAACACAGGATTAAACAATCCTGACCATTAAGAGCTGCAAAATATTGCCTTCCTTGAAGTGCTGAACGTTAACTTTCGTTCACTTCTTCTTCTGAAACAAGCTGCCTTTCCCAGGTCCACTGTCCTTGCTGAAAGCTATTTGTCATACGGAACAGGGGTTCCTGGAAAAAAAACAAACCTCTGCTGGGAGCGGAGGTGTAGAATATCAGTCTGATTTTTTTCTAGGAACTCACAGTCACACTGCAGTTTTACAAAAACAAATGATCTGCTTTGTTTTTTCCCAAATCAGTACAAGAAACACAGTAGGAAATTAAACATCAGTACAGCATCCATACTGAAAGCAGTTCCCCAACAGAAAGCACCGAGCGCTTTACATTTTCCAGTACTGGGGAAGAAAACTCAGCAGTTAATGATGCAAAAGCCACCAAGAGATAAGGCTTGAGATTCCTTAATTATCATATTGTGTTGGTGTATTGCTGAGTCCTCAGATTGTGGGTCAGCTTACACTGCAGGAGGCTAAAATACAAAAGCTTTGAGGGGGGAGGTCAGAGATAGGATCTGCAAATTCAGTGGTGGAGCTGAAGAACAATGCCGACGAAAACCGCAAACGAAGCTGCAGCAGCCCGGAGCTACACGGTCCCTGTGGCCCTTTCATCAGAACCAGGGAGGGAGAGCCTACTGGGAAAAGTGACCGAGCACACCTACGCATTATAAAGAAGTTTAAGAAAGGGATGTTCCTGCAGGTGTGGAGAAAACTGCCTGCATGCCTGAGGAAGACCTCATCCAACCCCACCCACCCGACTTCTTTGAAGTATTATTTTCGCCAAGAAAAGTGACGGTACTTCAGGAACACAAATGACGGCATCATGCACTTATGACTTCCATGAGGGCATTGAGCTGGCGTTTCAGCTATGTCTCCCCCCTCCAATAAAACTGTACGCTCCCTCGCTCCCTTGGCACAGTGATTATATCTTGGAATACTGCGAGACCGATGTATTTTTTTTTTTGCTGTTGCCATGACAACGGTGCTGTTAGGTCAGACCTAAAGCAGCAGCTGCCTGCTCCACTGCCAGACCCTGATAACTACAGCTCTTAACTTCAACACCGCCCCTGCTCCCTTTCTAAGTATGTTGCCTATATACCAAGATTTTAGTACCTTTAATTTTAAGAGAGCAAATTACAAACTACACCCATTTTTTCTTCTTCCCAAGAATCACGTCTATCATGAGGCAGGGAGCAGAAGTAACACAAACACATATTCCTCCGGTAGCTGTGGGAGCTCACATGACCTTAAGCATGCTGAAAATCTCGTTTCCAAGTAAATATGGGTATTAGCTGCTGGCATTAGTAAGCTATGCATAGCTTAATGAAACGGTGGCAAATACAGATAAAACTAAGGAAAGCTTTTACAGGATACCAGAGTCATGCCCAACAAAAATCTAAAACATTGTGCTTTACATTTACTCTCTTCAAAAAGAAAATCAGATACATTTTCAAATTAAGAGCTTAAAAGTGACACTAAACCACAACGTCTGTAAGAATGAACTCAACTGAGCATAATATAGGCAAGGAAAAAGGCTAGAATTTTCCATAAACACACTGAAGTTCTGCCACTGTAACCTTCTAGGCAGAGAGGTAACTACTGCAGTTTGAAAAAGTTATGTTCGTATTCAGTGCATCACTTGGCCAAGATTTCAAATGCAACTGAAAATGACAGAAGAGTAGAAAAAAATAAACCCCTTCGCAATTGAGATTTTTTTTTTTGCAGTCATATTTTATACTGTCCAATTAAGTGTTAAAATGGACACTTAAGGCATAAAGTATACTATGGTATCTTGAGATCACTTGTTTGATAAGAACACTGGCAAGTTTCTGTCAGTGCTGTTATTACCACAGAAGGACACACACAGAGGCTGAACCTTGTGGCCACGTGGTTGTGGCTGAGGGCTTGAGCACTGCAGTCGTTTATTAAGGAAGGAAAAAAACCCCCATGATTCCACAGAGCATTCCCCACTCAAGGCTCCCCTTGGCATTACACAGCATGGCTCCAGATGTGCTGAGAAAAGAGAGCCCAGAAAGCAGGAAAGCTGCTAAGAACTTGGAGCTATCCTGCCAAATCTTAACTCACTTGTCCGTAGGAAGAAACAAAAACCAAAGACTAAGTTTCTAACTAGCTATTAAGAGGAAGTCCAGTTTGCTAAAGCAAGGATAGCTCTTTTCAGTTCACACTGTTTACCATACTCGGCTCTTCCCCACCTTTGATAATACTGACATTTATCTACATTGTGCAAGTTACAACACACCATCACTACAAATACCGGGTATTTTGGAAAGCAATTTAAAGGATCAGCAGTGTTTATTGCAAATCAGTTTCTCTCTTCTACAGTTTACAAGGTGGCCAATAAAAGTAAGCACACGCGAACAGAAAAACATTCATGAAACACAAACGGGTTTAATTAAAACTGAAAAGGAAAACACATAATGCAGGAATAAAAACTCCAGGTACATAGCAATTATTAATTGTGAAGCTGCTGATGATCTTGGAAAAGGATTTGGGAATCCACGACCAAATATTCAGACTTAAATTCTGAGGGAAAGGGAGGAAACAACCATGACCTTCCAAGTCCTTCCGCACCACTCCACATAAAACTGTACTACTTGATATATTTTTCCATGAACTTTTTGTGAAATTCTGATCGCAGAGTATCATTCACAAATCTTTTGTCCTTTTTTGTTTCGTCTATCCCCTTGGCACAGTTCTTGAAGACAACATCATCATCCCACCTGAAAACAAAAGTTTTTACCTTCAGTAAGCTTGTATGAAAATTAGATGCAATTTACAAAAAACATATAAAAGAAGTTTGATGCTCCTGTTTAAAGAACAACTAGTCATTAGGACTAGATTTGAGTCTTTCAGAAAAGAAGATCTATTTTTCTATTCTAAGGCATCTCCTACATACTCATGAGTTAGAAGCAAGGTGAGTATCAGCAGATTAAAAAGGTTATCTTCATAGAAATTAATGACAATTTGAACAGAGCAGAAAAAAACCCTTTAATCTGATAGGCCTAATTTTTGATAAACACAACAATAACTGGGATACCTGCAAACAAGTGGGATACCTGTGTTGAGAAAAAGGCTTGTATTTATTAATTTTAATAGGCACAAGACAATCACTACATGCATCACTATCCCAATCCTACATTACACTGCTTGTGACGAGATCTGAGGAAGGAAACAAAAACCAGAAGCAGTGACAACATTTTCTGACTGAATAGCAAGAGGGAGTAAGGAGATGGGCATCAGCAAACAAACTGCACAGTACCTCCTCTTCACTTTGAAGTTTGCCTGAGGCTGTGCTGGGCCGGTTAGGTTCAGCAGTGGGTTACCACTCAGAATGTTCTCCATCCGAATTCTTTCTTCTTCAGCCTTTTGCTCTTGTTCCTGAGAACCAGAAGAGTATATATTACTTTTCTAGGCCACTTTTCTACTCTAGTTGGTAGAGATAAACATTATTTAGTTGTGAACACTGGCACAGATGGAGCTTTAATTTCTAGCTCAGACTTTTCAGTGTGTTTGGCACTTGCTTATGAGGATAGAAGCAGAGATACTCTAAAGAGCTTAACTTTGCTAATAAACTGTCAAACCAGAAACACTGATATCTGCTCTACTTAGCTGTGATGCTCCATCAAATATTCATTTAAATTCCAGCTTTACCATTTACATATTTATTATATTAAAAATTGTATACAGATTAAAAGACTTTCTTTATCCTCATGAGAAAAGAGACTACATCATACAATATTCCCTAGGTAGAAGAAACCTTACAGCATGTTGAAACTTCTCTGTTTTCAGCAGCTGTTTGGGTTTTACAACTAAAACTTCCCTAGGGACCAATTAAAAAGAATATTGAGAATTCCTCAGTGAAACTGAACAAAAGATGCCATAAGACTATTTAAGAGTTCCAATATTAAGGAGCAGAAAAATTTTCTTCTCCTTGTACTGTCAAATGCATGTAACTCAAGCCTAAGTGAAGCAATGCACTACAAGCAACACAAAGTAATTTCACTGCCCACGCTTCCAAGATCTATTAACATATCTAGTGACTTAAATGTTCACAGACTTCAAAATGGATGTGTAATATTCATTTTATGTCACCGTATTTTTCCACAACCTTTCACAAATATTGCCGGGAGTGATCTCTGATGAAAGAACCAGAAGGAAAAAGAAAAATTTAAATTTGGATGACTAACCAGGTCTGAAGACATTCTAGTTAAAAAATGAAGACTCATTAGCACTGCAGAAGAATCAAACCAGGGCTTTTAAAAATTATATAAACTAAAGGCAAAGAGATCACAAGGTTTGTGGGTTTTTTTCCCCAAACTGCAGAAAATTCATGCCTGAGGACTTTTACAGGATCCCCAAAGAGGAAGCCATATCCTTGATGCAAGTGTTTACCAGGTTTAAGTGCTAAACTTGGTGCTGATGCTAGCCAGAGCTCTCTAGCTTTAAATATTTAATCAATACTAAGTGATTTATTACTAACTACAAATTACGATATTGTTCAATGAAATTGATCAGGTATGTGAAATTTTGGATGGATGCCCCATCCCTGGAAGTGTTCAAGGCCAGGCTGGATGGAGCTGTAAGCAACCTGGTCTAGTGGAAGGTATCCCTGCCCATGGCAGGAGGGTTGGAACTAGATGATCTTTAAGGTCCCTTACAACTCAAACCATTTCATGATTCTATGAAATTTTCTTTTAGAATACCTCAACTCTCCTAAGAACAACACAGATTTCATACACTTAAAAAATACCATATGATTACCTTCCAAAATCTACTCAAGTTTTAGTTATGGAAAATACCCACCATTGCGCTGCTTCTCACAAATAAAATGTAGAACCAGCTGCAATTAACTGCCAGTGGGATGAGAAAAGCTCCCCAAAAGGGCATATTGCTTAAAAACATGGCACAGCTTCAGGACGAGCACTGTAATGCCCTTATTAAAACATATGCATAGGTCAAACTTGCCCTTGCTGCTGTATCCATGGAGCTTTAACACAAACCACAGCAGTTAAAAGTTATTAACATAAATCAACTAAACTTCTGCATTTTCAAACATAGCTCTAAATCCAACATTTGCATTCCAACTTCAGTTATTACCACCACAGTAAATAAGGAAACACAGAGAGCAAAAGTATTTTATACGGAACAACAATTTCTCCCCGTATTTGAAATATAAACTCAAATTATACTTTTCTCTGTGGATAAGAGAGAAGAAATGTATGCAGCTTCTCTGCGCAGCATGTCAATCTTTGATTTACCATTTTCCTTCCCTGTAACATGGAGGAGCCAACAGCAGTGAAATACAATTTACTGCAGTCTGTGTCATGTCTTTCCACCAGAAGTCCAGCAACCCTCAGACTACTGTACAGCACATGCATGCAAAGCACTGATTCAAAACCAAGCAAAATCTAGGATACTAGTACGAGCGAAAAAAACCCTAGCATTGATCTTCAGGTGCCTCCTGGGAGGTGATCACATTCTCTTTAAGACCATTAAGCAAATTTACAACAGGATGCAAGCGTGTGAAGTGTCTCTCTGTTGTCCAAAGTGAGGTGAGCTCTGCATCATTAATCTTCAATGCTCCGTTTAAAAGTGAGACTTTGAAAACACAGGAAGCGTGGGACAAACCTCGAAAGCAAATAAGAAAGCTGCATACCAAAAATTCATACTCAAGAGAAGGTAGCACTAATAAGACCATTGTAAGAAAATAATAGTCCTCTGTTGAAAAATGCTTCTGTGGAAAGAACTTCTTCCAAGTCCTACATATGCAAACAGGCACGGCAGTTTTCCATTTCAGAGCTGAACTCCAGGTGAACTCTTCTGAAGGTGGCATGTAAAGCACAGTATAGCCTTGCCCTCAAACCTCCAAGACAGTAACCTCAGCCGTGACCCAAAGTTACTAAACCTGTGCATCACACATTACTTTATCTGGGGCAGACATTACCATCTTAGGCTGGGTTTTTATGATGCATGAAAATGCATCCACAGACCACTGACAAATACAGAACTACAATACCCTCCACACACAGTGGTTTTAATGATCAAGGGTCAACTGGAGTCAGCCAGCACCTTTTGGTGGAAATCACAGTTCTTCTTCCCTCCCTTCCCCCATTTAAGATTTAATCTCAACAGTTCCTACAAAGCTGGGAGTTCCAGCACTCTCTACCCTACATGAAAAGAAGTGAAAGGCACTCAGTCATTTGAATTGTAAACACTCAAAATCACTAGAGAATGATAAAGCCAATATTAAGAATCATAAAAAATATGCATACAGTACTCCAGTGTTCTTATTACATAAAGATGTACATTCAAATTTTCGATAATAAGATTTTAAAAAGGCATGTTACACTTCATCCTAACTTCTATCTGCTTGACATAACCCATGTAATATCCCTCAGCCTCAATTAGCCTCACATAGCTCGCTTCCTGATAACAAAGAAAAGCATTATGAGACTGAAGTGATAAAATGTGGTGATAGAAAAAAAACCCCCAAAACTGAAACAACACTTTTAACAAGTTTTATACAAGCAATTGTATAAAACCAAAAGAGGGATTGAGGTCTGGGTTAAGACACTTACAGCTAGACAGGGGCCCCTAGGCACCTGAGCTCACATCTCGGCAGAGATCAAGAGGGTACAATACGGAGTCAAGATGGTCCTTCTGCTCCTACTGAACTACTCACACAGGAGACCAACCACACTCCAGGCTCTACTGACTGCATTTCCACGGCACCACCGTGGAGGATGGGATACATAACGTGTACATTGGCCCCAACAGCTTGGCCTTTCAGGCTCAACTGAATTCTGTCTAAAGCTGGTTATTGCTAACAACGTATTGCATTGACTTAAGTCAACTACAATTGCAGAGGACTAGAGGGTGGCAAAAACTGCATTATAATTGAAAAGAAGTGGCAGGGGCAATCTTGGGAATTTAATATGATTACATTTTACTTTTGCATCTATTAAATAAACAAAAACAATTATGAACATAATAGAAACTGTCAAATGTTCTTTTATAGTGACAATAATACAGAAAAAATTTCAGAAAATACAAAAAACCCCACGTTCACTGTATTTGCAGTAGGAGACACTGCAGAGCCCATGGGCACTTCGTGTGGCCCTTCACTGCTTCTCAGCTCTGTTCACAAACACAGCTCTGCTGTCCTTTAGACCTGCAGAGGCAGAACAACTAAAGTACTAACAAACTGCACAGGTTTATCTTTGTCATTAAAAATCAACAGATTTAGAGTGTGAAAGCAAAGAAGTATTAGGAATAAATAGGTGTTCTTGCGAAGTTTGTAGTGTGGTTGCATTTGGTGGTGGGAAGTGACAAATTACTGGTTGTTCAGTTGTCAGTCACAGAAAGATGCAGTTTGCCCAGAAACAAGGGGATCTATCAGCAGCAAAGGATCAGGAACCTCCATTTTGAAAATGCTGGGGACCTCACCCTTAGTGACAATGGAAAGGGGGACACACTGTAGGGTGTCAGGAAGCCTGTAACCTGGGAGTACCTCAGCCAATGGGGAAACAAGGAGGGACATGGGTTTCAGGCAAGGGGATAAAAAGAGGTTGTCACCTTTATCAAGTGGAGAGATCTCACTGGGGATTGTCTAGTGTACTCTCCCTTTTATTAGAGTAACAGTTTTAATTAGCTCCTCTGTCTCTGAGATATTTTTGAGGCTCATAATACCAGAAACAGATATATTTTTCAGAACAGAAGGAAGCGGATCTGTTGACTAAGGCATCGCCACTTTCAGTCACTTTACAAAGAAGAACCACCACACATGGTAATTTATTTATGGAATTCAGTTGTTCAAAGCTGTTTTAGGTTGGATGACATTTCAATATATTTGCTATGATTTTCAGGAAACAGGCTAATTCTAAAGGCTGATCTCAAAGATTTTTTTTTTTTGCATTATTTAGCTTCACTAAAACCTCCCAAAGAAGGTATTCAAGAAAAAAAAAAAAGATAAGTCACTAAGTTTTGTATCTTAGAGACATGACATGAAGAAAATACTAGGTGTAATTCACAGTGTTGTAAAGTTGACATTTTCACTTAAGCTAAGTGATACATTTTGGCCAGAGATACAGAATCCCTCATTTCCAGCCAAAAGAGGTTTTCATTATTTCTCATAATTTTCCACATAAATCTTCCACTGCCCACTCCTCCACCGAAAGCTGGGACGCTGCAGGCGCTGGAGCATGGGTTGTATCAAATCAAACAGACCAGACATAACCTTCATAGCTGTCTGAGCTTCACACCTCTGAGGCACAATCAAGCACAGCTGTTCACAAAATAAGCGGCTTCCAGTGCCTCCCTTGTTCTTGTGTGAGGTGGAACAAAGGCTTATTAACTACAGCACTATGAATGCAACAAAC